GCTCACCTAAAGTCCTGCAAGTTTATAAGCTGCATCTTTCAATTATGCTGAATGTCATTTCTTTTGCTGGGTGGTCCTTTGAGGTTCTGCCAAAGTGTAAGATGATGGGCGAGAAAAATCAGAAATACGTTAACTGTAAAATAATTATGCTACCTTTTGTATTTAATTCTAGCATCTTAAGTAATAATGTCGCTCTTCCACTTGGGGGAGCCAAAGTGCTAACTGACCCTTCTGTCTTTTCAGATCTTGAAGGACATCACTAATCGTTTCTATATGATGAGAGGTTATAAAGTACACTATGTTCCAGGATGGGATTGTCATGGATTGCCAATTGAGTTGAAGGCATTGTCAGAAGTCAAAGGAGCTGAAAATCTTTCACCAATGGAAATTAGGCAAAAAGGTAAACTACTGTTTGCAATATCCTTACTGGAAAAAAGTTGGCTTAGATATTTCTACATCCTACTCACCATATTTTGAATTTTATTCTTTATATATAGCTTTTATACTTTTTTGTGTACTTTTTTTCTGTGAGGTATTGGTGACGTTTTTGAGGATCACTGTATGTATTTGCCAAGCACACTGAGTACTGGCTTTGTCAGGACGGTTTGGCTCAATATCATACTTAAGAATGTATTGACTCTGCTTTCAATAACACTGCAAAACTATATGGGTGATCCTTTCAGAGAAAGTTGGTCTGCATTATATGGAAACTTTAAAAAAAAAAATGCATTATGTATTGAAAGACATCAACATTCAGCTGCAAAACTATTTGCAAAGAGCATTTGAAACCACTTTAGCGTGAAATTGCAGCAACGTAATCGGCTAATAATTTCATGTGCATATTGCATTGAAAAGTTTAGATCAGCATCAAAATCAGGTGATTTATTTTCATTCTTATTTTCTGGTATTTCATAGAGCATCTTGAGAAATTGTCTTCATGGTTAAATACGTTTATTTTTTTCCTCTCCCTTATGAAGGCAGCTTATCTTCTAGAGACGTTGTGCTGTACGTCTTCATATTAGTCAAATAATGCGTCCGCTAGGTCTTTTTACCCTTTATGGTCACTTCATATAAGTAATTCTCTGAAATACATAATTTTTTGAGCCTTAATAATTATTTAATACATATCCGTAATTAGTGCATAGTTTCAATATGCTCAGCTCAGGCTCTTCCCAAAATGCCAATAGCATATTTTAAATGATATAGTATTGACCTTATCAGACTTATCAGAGAAACTGTATACCTAATCGAACTACTCCTTTCAGCCAGAAAATTTGCAGAAAGAGCAATGGAGAAACAGAAATCTGCCTTCATTCGCTGGGGTATAATGGCAGATTGGGAGAACTGCTACCATACATTTGATCCAAAGTATGAAGCGAACCAGCTGAGAGTCTTCCACAAGATGTATGATAAGGTATGCTGAAATTCTGCTGAAGTACATTTTTGATTGTGTTATGAGTTTTGATTCTCTTAACTTTCTTTTTTCCCCCCTTTAGGGTTTCATTTATCAGGACTATAAACCTGTGTTTTGGTCTCCTTCAGCAAAGTAAGAATCAGCTTACTATTTTGTCTTAAAACTTTTAACAAGGATATCGACAGCTTTTCACGTTCAAGTGTGCTAACGTAAGTTTGATATCTACCCAGAACAGCCTTGGCTGAAGCAGAGCTGGAATACAATGAGCAGCATGTCAGTCGTTCTGCGTATATAAAATTTCCCCTGTTGAAGACACCACCTAAGCTGACCTCTGTGATAGGTATGATTCTTGGATATTTTTTAAGTCTTAGTGCTTTTATTTTTACGATAATTGTAAGTAAAGCATTTTTTATTTGCATCTGTAGATGGATTGTCCCCTGCTAGTGTGCTGGTCTGGACCACACAACCATGGACTGTGCCAGCGAATCAAGCAGTTTGTTACATGCCAGATTCAGCGTAAGTCTTTAGCTTAGTTCACTGATCTGTGTCGTTCCTTATCAATACTTGACAGTAAAATGAAATTAAAACATTGTGGACAACCATTAAGTTTTATTTGATGCATCTTACTTCCTTTTTAATTGATGCAATTGTAAGCTTTGTTCTGTATCTCTATTAATATACTAATTTATTCTTTCATTTTTAGTTCATTTTAATTTCTTCTTTCTTATGTTGTTCTATCTTGAAGTTGTTTTGACACTGAGTGAATTGAATATATAGATCTTAAAACCCATTATGCCATCTTTTTAGAGAGTGTTTAAACAATTTTAAGTTTTCTGGTGTTTGTAATTATTTAGTATCATCATAAATATATATTTACGTTGTAGATATTCAATTGTGAAATGTACAGCTACTGGTGAATACTTCATTCTAGCTGCAGATAGAGTTGAATCTACAGCTGCTGTTTTGGACACACAGTTTGAGGTTATTTCAACGTGCAAAGGTAGGTTTTAATATTGTTAAGTTGCTTAGAAATTGTGTAGGTAACTGAAAACTGATTCCGTTTTGATGTTTTATTATGTTTGTTTATATTCTGAGAACATGCCTCCCTGAAACAATATGAAGAGTAGTCTGTCAGACTCAGTCTTCGTGTGTTGAAATATACGATTGAGAATTTCAGATACAGGGTACTTTTTAAAATCTGGATTTACGCTTGGAAAATTTAAACATGGAATGGAAGTTTGTTTAGGCTCAAACTCTTCATTACACTGACTGCAGTATGTCTGTGTTTCAGCCCTTGTTCATGAGAATAAGCTACAAGTATGCTTAATGACTGCCTAATGGCTAAATTCTATGAAAACTATTGAAAAAACACCTAGCGCAACATAACTGGTAGTTCTGTTAGCCATTGTTGTCATTTAAGATTCCTAAGTTCTTGTTAAGAGTTGTCTTAAGCATTCTTCATAACTATGAAGACTGCATCTGTTGTCTGTACTAAGGAACTAAAGCCATTAAGTTTGCATCCTAACATACTGCATAGTAATAGTTCTTAACAGGCAAACTTCTGATTCAGTGTTTTGAGTTGGGATTTAATATGTCATTCGTGAATTTTATTCATTTGCTTATGTCTGTGATGCAAAGCTGGAAATATGTGTACCTAGAGGAGGTGAGAAATCTGTTTCTATGACTTTTCATGTTACTCTGGTCTTTTGCCATGTCTTATTTTTGAGAGCATTGTCTCAGGTAGAAGTAAAGCTTTTACTTCAATAAAGCTTTTACTTCAAAGAGAAAGAAAAAAAAAGTTTGCAGAATTAAAAATGCAGATTACTTGAAAGCATTTGGATGGGGACCTACAAATAAGATAAAATAGTATTAAATATGGAAGTATCAGCAAGCATATGCTGATGATCAGTTGTCCAGTTTCTGCTCTCTGATGAGACAAGCTGAATGCATTAATTGTTTCTCTATTCTCTCCTTTTTTCTATTTTTTTTTTTTCTCCACACCAGGTACAGATTTGGCAGATGGTTCCTGTGCTCATCCTACAATTCCTGGCAGAGTATCTCCCCTGCTACCTGCAAATCATGTGACAATGGCAAAAGGAACAGGATTAGTTCATACAGCCCCAGCTCATGGTATGGAAGACTACAGTGTAGCTTCTCACCATCAGCTACCCACGGTACTTTTTTCAGCTTTTGTTCTTGCTTTCCTGTAACTGTTGATCACATGCCCATAAAGCTATTGTCAAACTTTTGTATAAAACTTGAAAATGTTTAAAAGCATTCAGATAAGTGTATCACTAACAGCCTAAAGGAATGCAGGACTAAGCTTAAAGTGTGTATCAGAATAAAAGGATAGTTTTCCATCCGTTAATTAAAGCTTCCAGGAAAGTGATAGAAGTTGATTTTTTTTTTGTTTCTATGTTTTTTTTTTTGTGTGTGATTTTGCTTTATTTCATCTTTTTTTTAAATGATAACATAGACAACAATTCTGTCAGTACGAGCTGTACCTTGCAGACTAGTAAATAACTGGTTATGTAGGTATTACCATAATTAATAATTACTATTATTTTTCGGTAAAGCTTGGAGTATTCTTGAATAAGGAAAAAAATTACAATTAAGGGACTAAATTTCTTTTAATACATAGTATCCTTGTGTGCCAGTGGTTTTTTAAACATGCATGCTGTTTGGTTATGCATGATCAGTTTGTGTTTGGTGGAAATGAAAATACGGGATGTTCTTCTCTTTTGGGTTTTTGAAGAGGTGGCTCTTGAGATGTTTTAAAACCTCTTTATTCTCTTATTTCTTGTTTTGCTTTGGTTGCTTTTGTTTTTGTTGTTTAACTGTTAATTTGAAAAATCATTGAAATACTAACCAGGGATTTGCTGGAAAACAGTTGTGGAATTTTTGTAAACCTCATGGTGCTTGTTTCTTCTCGTAGGTCAAAGTCGCTTGTCTGTCTGGTAAACTACTAAATTGCAGTTTGAAGTGTATGTAAATAAAACATAGTTTGCTTTTCATCAGAAAAGTAGCTACTTAGCATAGCACTTAACTCGCTTTTGAATACCAAAAATAGTAATTAATTGTCATGTAGTATTTTATTGATACGATTAGCATTTTTATTTTTAGGAGTGCCTTGTGGATGAAAGCGGATATTTTACTGAAGCTGCAGGTCCTGAACTTCAAAAGAAGAATGTACTCGAAGAAGGAAATGAAGCTGGTGAGTATTTGATGTTCAGCCATTTGTTACTTTATTATCAGTTACATTCCTGAAGGTTCTTGAGGGTTCCTATGAACATACAGTCATATGTTTTGAATATGGATGAGACACAGGCACTTCTTATTATGTGTCAATTGTGGAAATAAATGAATCAAGGTTAACAGGACCACTATGGTTAAATCTGATTTGTATCTTGCCTCATTTTTTCACTCAGTCATTAAGATGCTTCAAGCAGCTGGGAGTTTGTTGAAAGAGGAGAAATACGTGCATAGCTACCCATATGACTGGAGAACTAAAAAACCAATGATTATTCGTGCCAGCAAGCAGTGGTTTGTAAACACAGCAAGTGTAAAAGCTGCAGCACAGGTATGTTTTACTTTTTTTTGTGGGACATTCCAAATGACATCAGCTGCTGTTAAATCAGGAAGAGTCTTGCTGTAGGTCACTCTGAAATGTGTTCTTCTCAAGTGTTAGCAACTTGTAAACTAGGTAGTGTCTGTAGTTATTTGTAGAAATGACTAGTGCTGTCATTTTATTTTTTGTCAGTATTGATACATTTCAGGATAAATAAATGACAGAGATGTTTGTTCATAGCATTTATGGGGGATGCATAAGATTCTTAAAGAACTGCTGAATTTCTTTTCCCCAAAAGAGAGTTTAAAAGAAAAAAACTCTCTTCTTATCTAATACCTTTAAGCATGGTATTTCTGTCACTAGTAAAGTTACCTTTGTTATTAAAGTAACCTTGCATGGCCATACGTCTTTATTTGCTCCTCTGTTCGTTTGGCCATGGTCTTATTTAAAATTACTTAAAAGCACTTTCTTTTTTTAAATGAAATTATGTGTATCAGCACAGAAAATTCTGACCAGCGCATTGGGCTGTCTTCAGTAACAGTGATTTTATTCTAATTAGGGCATGAGTCATTCATTCCATGTCTGTCATTGTCTAGAAAGAAAAAAAATAAATGACACTTATTCAGTGTGATTGGGTGTGAGTATCAAGATGTAGTTTCAAAGACACAATGAGCTATTAAGCATCAGATAGAGATACTGAAGCCACTTCTAACTCACGTTAGTGTGTCTGTGAAACAGAGCTGGCAAAAAAATATTGGTTGCTCTCTGGGAACATGTACATAGTGTTCTAAGTATATTACTGAAGATCAATGTGTGGTGGAGTAAATTAAATGTGACAGTTGCCTGAGAACATACTACTCAATACTGGGAGTAGGACTGTAGGCATGGACCTTTTTTACTGATAGCACAACCACCGTGTGTCTGAATGCTGAATCTTGTTCAACAACTCACTGTCTTACTTTATAGGAAGTGCTGAAAAAAGTGAAAATTGTTCCTACGTCTGCAATGAACAGAATGCTAGAAATGCTGGATAGAAGGACGTTTTGGTGTATATCACGGCAAAGATGTTGGGGTGTTCCAATTCCTGTTTTTTATCAGAAGAACACGGGAGAAAGCCTGATAAACAGGTATTTATCTAACTTCAAATACTGAAAAATGAAAGAAAGAGCACTGTGGTACTGCAGTTATAAAATATTATGAAACTTCTAAATATATAGGTATAAATACATGTTATTACTTGCAGTTGTTTATACACACACCTAATAATCAAAAAGTCATTACTGAATATGACTTTTTAAGTGCTAGGAATCAAATTGCTTAGGTACTGAAGTTATCTGAAGAGTCCCTTTCATAGCAATTGCCACTTACATCTCCCATCTTCAAGTTAAGTGACCTAGCATTAGTCACTGGCTTTTACATTTAAGCAAGGAATAAAATGCAAGTTGTAGCTGGTTTATAGATTAAAACTGTAATCTTAGCAGTATGAATTGAATAACGTAGATATTTTGTCAAAGTAACTTTTCAGCATGTCAGTTACTGAAACTCAGTAACTGACACTGAGAAATCTGAAGAGGAATAACCAAGTCAGTTGCAAAATAAATAACTATACTTTGTTTCAAAGTAAAATGAGAGTGTTTTTGAAGAGACAGCCACAATAAATGTGAGTGACCTTTGGCTGTATGAGTTGGTAGGTAGGTCTAATGCTTCAGATGCTAGCCTTATTCTGCCATCTTCTGGTTAAGTTAATAGTAGCCAGTTATTGCAAACATTGTGTTTTGGGAATGCCAGGTAGTGTAATGTAGAAAAAATCCAGCTATGGAAAACAAGAAACCTCGACCAAATGCAATCCTTTTTGTCTCTGAAGGCGTAATAGGGTGCTGCTTTGTACCCCTTTGGCGAGCAGAGGAGTATCCAACCGTGAATGTTCATTGTTACAAAACGATCTCTTAATAACACGGTGGAGTTCCACATTCATTGCTTTATTCCATAATTGTCTTCTGCCTTAATATATGCTAGTGTAACTCCACTGAATACATCTTAACTTCAGATTTTTTTTGTGGAAATTCATTACAGGTAGTACGGTAACACAATTGAAATTGTGTCCCAGAACTTTTTATTATTACTGTGTTGAATAAATATACTGCAAAGAGACGAACTTATTTTCCAGAGGATAGATTGAGAATGTAAGTATAGTGGATAGTAAGGCTTGGGGTGTAGGAAGGAGAGAATGGACTTTAAGCAGTTAGTCCTAAGCTTCACCTGGCGTGATAGGGTGTGTTAGGCGCACAGATATGTACTTTGCCTCTCTCGCAGCAGGCAATAACTGTGAGAAATGACTACAATAACTGTAGTCATTTATGGTACTTGAGTAACCCTGAGGCACATCAGGAAATAAACGGATGGAGGCTCTGTGGGGTGTAAAATCATTATACCTGCAAAAATTGTGACTATATTTCAAAAGAAAGTATATGTTCACATCAAACGTTACAATTTCTGAGGAATATTACTGTAGTCTGTCTGCAGAGTAGGCTTGATGCGTTCCTTGTACTTGCTTAAAATTGCTAAATACGCGCTTTTGTAACAAACTAAGAGTATAGTGAAACACAATCTAGCAGTTCTCAGTCAAACATGAAGTGCACCATGAAGCAGTAACTCCACCAGATGTTCGAGGAGCTGTCCCCCAGTGGCTTTTAAAAAAAGATGTCTTCTTGTAAGCGTTTGAGCTGTGTGTGAGTATCAGTGGAGTTGTATATGCGCCTGTCAGGGTGTTTTGATGTGACAGACGGTGTGTAGGTACCGGGTTAGAGGTTGCACATGTTGGTGACTGAACAGAGGGATGATATGGCATGTTTGATGGGCATTGATGGGCATTGATCAAGGGGAAAAACAAAGACTTAACCAATATACTTGAAAAGTTTAGATTTATTTCATTCAGCTGACAGTTTCTGATGCTCATTTATAATCAGTACTCTGTACTTCTAAAATATTTTGCAGCCAAGGTGAATTTTTCAAAGAAAAAGCATAGAATACTTGTTAAATATATAAAGTTAGCCATAGCAGACTTCTGCAGCCAGAGTAGGAAAAGTGCGCAGAATATTGGCCTACAGAAATGACAGGCAAATTTTGAAAGCAGTCTGTCAATTCATAGGTCATTTTCCTGGGCACCAGTTCTTACTGAAATACATAAATAAGCCTAAATATTTTGTTGCATTTGTGTTACCATTTTTGACATATTTCTAACACCTGAGAAGTTTCACTTGTAGGTTGTACAAAGAAATATCATTAGAACAACAATAAATAACTTACATTTCAAAACACAAGCTGTTTTGTTAGCTTGAGTGCTGGATGAACGCATTTCCAGTAGCACCTGCTCCGCAGTCTTTGGGAGGCTATCAAAAGTAACAGCATCTCCACTGGAAGTCAGTGTAGTCCACATGGAGTTGCTGTTACATATGAGAGCACCAGTGGTCTGTCTTGAGTGGTCCTGTCTAAGTATCACCTGTAAAAAAAAAAAAAAAAAGACTTAAAAAAAAATATATATATATATGTATATAAAATAAATTGCTGGATTTCCCTCTGTAAGTCAGACCATATTCATTTGGTATGTGAAAGTCTGCAGGAAACTTCTCTTTTAAAATGCAACTGCTGATCTCTAACAGACAGGATTTTTGGTAACTGAAAAATATTCTTGCTAATGTGAAAGCTAAGAGATAGACTGTAATATTACAAATAAGATTATATGCAACAGGTTTGATGCCAGATCTCCATACGAGTCTTCCCATTTGCTGCTTTGGCCCCGTATAGCCCTTAAAGAGATTTGAGTGTACGATACAGTTGTCTGAAGTTATAAATTCAATTTTCTGCTGAAGATTAGATCCATTATATACAGAGTGTATCTCATTACATTGCAATCAGGAACTAAAAATAGTATAAAATAATAAAAACCTATAAAAGAGAAAATATTTTTTCGTGATTGCAATTTGTGGTAAAAAATATGAAATATAAAGGCACAGGTCTGCAATTTTACTGCACAAGGGGAGAAAAGGACCTTAAGTAGAATAAATGCACAAATGAACACGCTGTTTGATCACTTTCTTGAGAAAAATGTTTTGATTCTAGAAAATTGTGTAACTCATGAAAAAGGAGAGAGAGAGAGATCCAGAAGTAAAACTAGAGATTTATATTTCCAGTAGTAGCTCAGACCAGGCAATAAATGTGAGATACATTCTTTATTTTTATCTCATGCATTAACTTATTTTAAAATTCACTGTTCAGATATTTGTAACAGTAATACCAATTCTGCAAATAAATATTGCGAAGGTTATTCAAATGCCTGAGAACTTGTCCCATTCTCTGTGACTCTGATTAGCAAGTAACTTAAATTTCTGATATATGAAAAAAAAATGGTTTTGATATATATCTACGCTGCAGTCTAATTTGCTTTTTAAAATATTAAAACATTTCAGTCACTTGTAAGCAATAGCAACTTACCATAACATAAATACTTACAGCTGAAGTATCAAGATTCATATGAAAAAGGAAGGTAACTTGTCTTCTTTACTGTCGTTGGAAAAGAGGTTGAGAGAACATCAGGAACTGTATTCTTCTCCTCCTGGCTATATCTTAATGCTGTCTAATTTCTGTTAACACATTAAATAAGTGTTCAGCATAATCAATATCAGACTTCAGAGTGATTGGCTGGTGTCGTGGTAGCGTGAATTGCCGTAGGGGTTTCGGTGTTAAAAACATAGCGAGTGACACGTAATGCAAGTTCTTCTAGATACGGTGTATGAATACAGGGCAAAGTTTTACAATGGTGTTTATTGCTAACTCTGTGAATTATCATGCTCACGTTGAAGCCCACAGATTATAAAGTGATGAGTAGTTATTTGAGAAAGGTGGTTTTCACTTGCACCTTGAATAAAAGTACTCTGCAAAAATCTTCCTCTTACAATACAGATATCTTGCATATAGTTACTTCTCTCGTGATCACAGCTAGTTGTATGGATCCTGGGAAAAATGAGAGCGATAGGCTGGGGCTTTTGTTTGTCTTGGATTTTTGAAAATGTAGGAGGAAAAGGTTTCATGAAATTATTTCCTCAAAGTTTTAACTATCTTCTCTTTAAAATGTTTGATTGGATGATGGTTCATGTTTACTCATATTCTGTGGGGAAACTGAACATAATGGAAAGAATGCACTGCCAAAATATTTATTACTTGATTTGGTAAAGTGATATTATTGATCAATATTCCCAAAATTATAAGTTGACCTAACAGTCATGGGCTCCTTATTTCTTGTAAGTGATTCATAACACAAATTGGACCTCTTAGTTGTCTGGGAACTTTAATCTATAGCAGAATCATACCTGCTAGTCACATCTGTGTCGTGAAAATGTCTCTGAAAGAATTCCATAAATTAATACTATAAACTTTTGCATCACATAATGATACACTTGGTGAAAGGTTAGTTCATATTATGTTTTGTAGAAATGGTGTATGTTCAATGGTAGATAGTTGTAGCTGGCTACTACACTTACAGCAAACGAAGACAGTTTTTTATAATGGTTTCCCAAGGGAGGCTGACAGCAGGGTTTTACTTCCTCCTTGTTCTTCCCCCTGCCTCTGATGAGAAGAGCATGCTTACTACGGGCAATTTGGTTTGCACTACCATAGCGCTTCTGTCCTGCAATTAATTTCTGTTCTGTTCTGCAATTAATTTCCTCAAATATGCGTGATAGACCATAATCTCCTCCACTGAGGAGAGATGTCTAGCAGAGTGGAATTAGAAAAAATGCTTCTTTTCACTCTAGAAGAGTTAAGTAGGTAGTCAGTACTCAATTTAAATATAATCTTTTCCTCTCATTGCTGCAGGACAGTGAGCATTTCCTATGAGATCTGAAAGGATCTGATGCATATTAAAAGTACGTGTATGTATCTGTACCTATACATTTTATATATATTTTATATTATTTTAAATAAAGAGCAGTCTTGATTAAGGACATTTTTTTTTTTTAACCAATGCTGTCATACAGCTCATCTTGATCAAAGTGAAATGTTCAGCCGATAGAACTACTAGCAATTGCAACTCCAAAACAGCCTTGCCAGCAGCAAACATTACAGCGTATTTCACAGTTCCCCTCCAAAAGACTTAGAAAATTTTTATTCAGACACTACCAATGTAAATCACCAGCCTGTATATGTTCTGAAGAACAGGCATTGTATAGAAATGTACTGAATTTTATGACAGATCTTCTCATGCTAATGAATAACCGTCAGTCTTCCTTAAGACTGTGTTGTTAGTTAGTTTGCTTGCTTTGAAGCTGAAGGAATCAGAGAGCTACCAGACTGAACGTGGATTTAGAGCAGCTTTGGCACATCTAGGCTTTTGCTCTCCAAAATGAACCAAAGGGGGTTTCAGGGTTATTCTGTTTGGAATCCCACATTTGTCAGTCCTTTTTGTTTGTTTGTTTTATTATTATTATTACTGTTTTGTTTTAAAAAGTTTCCACTTTTGTGGAATTCTGGGTTAAATTAATAGTTGCAAGTCAGAAAAATGAATTAGGGAATATCCAGAGGCAGAAGGAATCCACCAGGCTCATTAAGTCCAACTCCTGGCTTCACACAAGACCACCCAAAAATCAGATCGTGTGTCTGAGTGGTGGTGCTTCAGACTGTAATTCATTAAAGCTCAGAATATCTAACAAACTGATTTCTGCTGTCATAATGTTTTTTTTTATTATTATTATTATTTTTTTTATTATTTTTTTCCTGAGAGCTCTCTGAATTTGGAGGTTCAGCCAGAAGAAAGCAGGGGACAGTTATTGGCTAGCCTCGGAGAAATTTACTAGGGCTGGATTCGTTGTTTGTATTTATCTTTGAGAAGTAACACTTCACAACTGGAAGTATAGGCAAATAGGCCTCTGTGCAAATATTTCTGAAAGGAAAAGATACCAGTCAGAAATGGAGCTCTAAATGTTGTTTTACCAAGATAAATGTTAGCAGATACATTACGAAGCCATAAATTGTGTCCCACGATCATTGAACTGGAAAGTGAATGGCATCCATTCAAGTCTGAAAGGGTAAGAATGGCACTGGTATGTTAGCTGGCTGTCATTTTGAGAGTGTTACTGGTTAGTGTGCCTTCTCTCCATAAAGTGTACTGGGACATTCTGCTTGCATTTACTTTGAAAAGACTATGACAGGTTAATACAAAACTGTTGCTCTGACATAGGCATTTTATCTCCACAATCAACAGTAAAATCGTGTTTTCTTCTCACTGTCATGTCTCATGTGGTGTTATTAAGTTTTACATCTTCTTGGAGAACATTGGTTTTCATGTTTAAACTGTGTCTAAGAGTCCACTGAATGCTGTGGTGATGCAGCTCAGCTTATTGTAGTACAGCAAAAACATGGTGCTGATGTCCAAATAGAAAACCAAGTGGTGACCTGAAGGAAGTTAGATTGTAGGCCTTTTGTATTTTCGAGATAATTGTACAAGATCCTTATTTTACTGATTCCCAGTTTGCAATATTTTGTCAAGAAATTAATCAATTGAATAACTTGAAGAGTGAACATTTAAAAACAGATCTCTGGTGACTTGGGTAATGCAGTGGTTTTAGTTTGATGTTTTCAGGTCATGATGGTCTGCTGTACTCCCTAGGTACAACAGGAGTTCTAAAAATCACTTCTTCAGTAAATGCTCTGTGAGTCAGCAAGATAAAGTATGTTTTATGGCGTGTGTTTTTTTCTATTATTTTTTTTTATTTTTTATTTTTATTTTTTGTTGTTGTTAAGCTATCTTAATGTACGCCCAGACTTGCCATTAAATAATACTAAAAATCACCTTGCGTACTGTGGATGATTAAATGTATCATAAGCAGTGAAGAGAACTGTTCACTTTTTGGTTGTGTTATCTGTTCACAGCAGAAAGAAAATGCTTTTTTTTTTTTCTTTTTTTCCTTTTAATTTTTCCATAGTGTGTATATGGTTCAGAACCTTTGTCCTTACTGAAGCTGTACCATATGGATTCATATATGCCTCAGAGTGTCTATTGAATGGTTAATTACATTCTTCCTCTACTGGATACAAAAATTGCAGTTTTCCCCACATTTGGCAATAATATTATATATATATACCTATGCTGCTGCTTATTTAAAAAATAAAAAAATAAAAAAAAAATAAAAAGGTAGAATCCAGCCAAATGGAAGTCTGATGTGAAATCTGTACCTTATTTTAAATGCTGATGTTTCCTAATTCTCCGTTTGTTTGCTCTCTATCCAGTGGAGAAAAATCTACTGTCAAAAAGAGCAAGTGTTTTTTGGAAAATAGTTGTTTATTTCTCTGTAAATCTGAGATTGAGAAATAGCAAGTGAAATGAATTTTAGAAGTCTTCAAGCTGCTGGTATCTTTTCCAAGTGCCCAGTTGCTGAGTATTTGCAGAAAAAGCTGTTCAGATGCATCTGTATTTCTCTATGTCCAGTCTTTTACATAACCCTGCAGCTGGTGTCTTGGAAGACCGAAGTTGGAAATCTTTTCTAATACAGGCAGAAAGTCTCTGGAGACTTGCCTGGATTAGAAGCTGGAAAAAATCAGAGGTTTAAATAGCTTAATCTCTTTCTCAGTATATCTCACTGCTTTGGATCTGGAATACTTGTAGAAAGATATGGTTAATTCATCAATTCATAAAACCCTTTTTTTCCCTGCTAAACAGTGAAACAATCACAGATGTCATCAAAATAGTGGAGCAGCAAGGAACAGATGCATGGTGGACCCTTCCTATTGAACAACTATTATCAAAAGAGGCTGTAGCAAAGGTAATTTTTTTTTTTTACTTAAATACAGAAAGTGCTTGAGAGATGGTTCAGTGATGAGAAGTAATATAAAACCTTTGTATATTCTCGTGATCCTTTCCAGTCTTCTGCCTTTATGTGAATGTATCCTGTGAAAGGAATATTCAGAAAATGATACCTGAATGTGACAAGAGTCAGATTTCAGCCATTAATTCTGGGCTGAGATCTCCAACCTCCTCCTTTTAGGTCAGGAGGAAAATAACATCCTACTTAACTAAATTATGAGTGCAAATATATATTGAGCCTTTGTAATTAAAATAAATCTGAATTTGTATTTAGTTATTCCTATCTTTATATTGTTGCTTTTACATTTGTGTTCATAAGCTAACAAACTGCAGTGTTACTCTGCCATCTCTTTTCTTTTTTTTGTATTTTTTCCGTGCTTTGTGTTTTCCATCAATAATTACCTGTGAATCATTGTTAAAAATTATCTGAATTATTTTTTCTCATAAAGTTGGTAGCAGAACCTGTACAAAACTGGTCCAGAAACCAAATATATTTTATTTCTAGCTTTGAAAAACACTGATGATATGGAGTATTCTATTTGCATTTTTTAATAATTGTTTTTCCAATAGGCTGGTGGTGGTCACGATGTTTTGGATTATGTCAAGGGACAGGATGTCCTAGACATCTGGTTCGATAGTGGAACCTCCTGGGCTCATGTTTTGGAAGGTACGGTATTAGTATGTTGATCTTTCTTTTATAATACTCGGAGAACAAAATATAATTATTTTACATGATGCTGTTGGTATCAGCAAAACTGAGTCAGATTATGCCAGCAACAAACTGGTT